AAAGAAAGAAAGAAAGAAAGAAAGAAAGAAAGAAAGAAAGAAAGAAAATACATGCAAAGAGACAGCTCAGGGGGTAAAGGTCCCACAATAAATAAATAAACGTAATAAAAATGTTTAGGAGCCAGTTAGAAGACCCATTTGGTTAAGGCTCTTGCCTCTGTTGACACAAAAACATAACCTTTGACTTGAAGGGGATAAAAAAAATAGTTTATTCTTTTAGTAATGGAGCAGAGAAAACACAAGTAGAAGCATGGCATAGTGGCACACACCTTTAATCCCAGCACGCAGGAGGCAGAGGTAGGTGGATCTCTGTGAGTTGGAGGCCAGCCTGGTCTACACAGTGAGTTCCAGGACAGCCAGGGCTATATAGTGAAACCCTGTCTTGAAGAAGGAAAAAATACTACAAGTTGAGGCACCTTTCAAATACACTGGTAGAAATCTTAAGTAGGTGGGTTAAAGCAAAGCGAGGGCAGGCGTGTCTCAGCTATACACGTTGGATGCTATATGATAACATTAGCGGAAACTGTTTTTGTTAAGTGAATTATCTGTTCTGTCACAGACAGACAGGCAAGGAATGACTATTCAGAAGGCTAGAGATAGCCTAATATAAATTGTAATTAGGTTCCGGACCTGCAACATTTCAACCCCTGCACAATGATTGATGTTTTAAGGAGCCTTATGGAAGGTTCAGTGAAAGGTGCGGCTTCTTTTCTGGAACTTATGTACATCCCCAACTGAGTTCAATCTCTGAACTTCTAATGGTAGAAGGAGAGGGCTGACTCCTTTGTCCTCTGACCTCCACAAGCCAGTCCAGGCATACACACACACACACACACACACACACACACACACACACACACACACTAAATGCAACTTAAAATTAAAAAAAAAAAATCCAAGCATGGTAATATACACCTTTAATCCTACCACCTGGAAAACAGAAGCAAGTAGGTTTCTGTGAGTTCCAGGCCAGCCTGTTCTACAAGTTTCAGGTTAGCTTGGACTATTTAGTAAGACCCTGCCTGGCTTAAAAAAAAAAAAAAAAAAAAAAGAAAAAAATATATATTCTATCTTGATCAGATGTGACAGTGCCTGGGACTGAGTTTCAGCATGTTTGAGAGTCAAGTGCACGGAAGAGGCTCCTTCCCTTTGCAGCCAGGTGGCAGCTCACCTAGGTGTTTTTTGATGTCTGAACAGAATGACCCAGCATGACCCTCTACTTGGAAGTGGGAAGGGATGGATTATGAGTTCATCTTAATAAGTGTGTTCAGTCTGTGGCCCACAGATTGATGGCCCGGCATAGCTGTGAATGCAGCCCAACACAAACTATATGCTGAATTTTTTTGTTAGGTTTTTTTTTTTTTTTTTTTTTTTTTTTTTTGGTGTGATTTTATTTTGCTTTTAACCCATGGCACAGATCTCAAATGTGAACTGTGTAGGGTAGATATAGGGCTGTCAAAAGGGTAGATACAGGGCTGGGAAGACAGCTCGGTCTACAAAGTGTTTGCCATGCAAGCATGAAGACCTGGATTTTATCTCAAAACCCACATGAAAAAGCTGCCTGTGTCATCCCAGGGATGGGAAGCTGGAGAAGGAGAGTAGTTGGAGCTCTCTGGCCAGCTAGCCTAGTCTAATCGGTGAGCTCAGGGTCAATGAGAGACTTTGTCTCAAAAACCAAAATGTATAGCACCAGAAGAATAACATGTGAGGTTGACCTCCGGCCTCCAGCAAGCACACATGTGTACATGGACCCTCATACATACATATGAGTGCTTTCCATCCCTGAATGCTCTGCATGCGCTTGCGCGCGCGCGCGCGCGCGTGTGCACACACACACACACACACACACACACACACACACACACACGCAGGTTGAACACACCTTTGAATCTCCTCTGGATCTCAGCTCCTTGCTGCTACTGCCCAGACTCTAATCAAGGCTGGCTTTCTTTGCCCAGCGTAGGCACGGCCACCAGAGCATGCAACCATCCCTCATTTTCTACACACCCAGTAGTAACTACCGCCCTGCTCCGGAGTTTTCTCAGGAGCTTGCTGAGGGCCAAAGATAAACTAGCCCTGCATCTTCTCTGCCCTCATGACAGGCCAGGAGGTGAGGAAGGCAGATCCCCTAGATAAACACAAGACAGAGAGGTGCTGACCCAGGCTTCTTGCAAGGACAGCAGGGCATTCAGAGGACAACTTAAAAGAAAAAAAGAAAAAAGAAAAAAAGGCTGAGCGTGGTGGCGCAGGCTTGAAATCTCAGTAGAAGCAGGCGGATCTCCGTGAGTTCGAGGCTAGCCTGGTCTACAGCGGTTGCTCCAGGACAGCCCGGGCTACGCAGAGAAACCCTGTCTCAAAAACAAACAAACAAACAAAAGGCAAACCCGGCCCTGTTCCCTGGGAAGGATCAGAAAGTCCATAGTTGGTGACTATCTCCAAAGCGCCCACCCTTTGCTCTGTGGGCCCGGTTTTCATCTAACTCCTTCCTCTTTGTGAAGATCTGGAAAAGTCCGCCATCTCTCCCCCGAGCCACACCTCCCAGGAGCCCAGGGCTGGTGGCTTGGTAGCACGTATTGAGCACCTGCCAGATACCGGTGGGGGGGTGGGGGGTGGGGGGGGTAAAGTAAGACAGAGCAAGGCAGGCAGAGCAACCCTGGTGGCCCGGCGTGAGGTGCAGCTGTTCCCAGCTGTTTCCCTGGGCTATTCGGCTGCGGGTCCCCGGCAGAAGTTTTGGTTATAGAAGTGCCGGTTGTCCCGGGTCAGGGATGTGCTCAGCTGGGCCCAGAAGCTGCCCTGTCCGCTGGGCTGCTGGGGCCAGAAGAGCACACTCTGGCGGCAGAGGCGCTGGCGCAGCCGCACGTAGCGGGAGCGGTGGGCATCGGGGCGCAGGATCACCAGCACCACCACGTCCTTGCGGTCCTCCAGCAGGCGCTGCTGAGCCAGCAGGAAGCTGGTGCGCAGGAGGCCGCTGACCCGGTCGGTGTGGGCTAGCACAAACAGAGTCTTGCGGCTGCTGTAGATGGAGGCCCAGAGGTTCTCGAAGAGCGTCTGGCCCGGCAGCCAATCCCGGTCCTCCAGGCACAGGCGCAGGGCTCTGCGCCCGCGCCGCTCCTCCAGCCGCACCCGAAGCTCGTTATACACCCAGTCGGCAACGGCGCTCTGCGCCTTGTCGAACACTACGAAGGCATCATAGGGCAGAGCCTGGGCCCCGCGCCGGCCCCGGGCCAGCAAAGGAAGCCACGCCAGGCACAGGTGGAAGCAGTACCAGACGTCCCAGCCGCACAGGTGATGCAGTAAGGGCACCACCGTGCCCGCAGCCACGGCCAACAGCGAAAGGCTAAAGCACTCCCAGGAGAGAACGTCATCCAGGCACAGCCGCAGGTCCTGCTTAAAGATGCTGCTGCCCTGCAGCTGGCCGGGACTGCCACACTTCACGTTGATGGCCAGGCCAGGTACCGCCGTCTGGATCTCCAGCAGGAAGTCCAGGAAGGTCGCCCCGCAGGCGCAGTGCAGAGGGTTGCTGCTCACGTCCAGCATCCTCAGGCTCAGGGCGGTGGGCCCAAACCAGGAGCGATCCACGGTCTTGAGATTGTTGTCGCTGAGGTTTACCTCCTTCAGCTCCTCAGCCAGAGCAAAGAAGGCTGGGACCACAGACACAATATTGTTGCTACTGACATCGAGTTTCTGGAGCCGAGTGCCGTTAGGCAGGGTGCCATTGGTCAGGGCCTTTAGTAGGTTTCCTGCCAAATCCAGGGCTTCCAGGTTAGGCAGGAAGGCCAGGCTGCTCCAGTTAAAGAAAGACAGAAAATTGTCACGGAGGCTCAGCTTCGTTAGGTTCTTGGGGAGGTTATCCAGGTTCTGCGGAAGGAGGATATGCAGGTGATTCCGAGACAGGTCTAGATAGTTCAGGCCTGTCAGGTTTTGGAAGAAGTGGAGGTAGAGGTCCCCCTCGCCCCACATGAGGCCCATGCCGTTGCCGCTGAAGTCCAGGGACTCCAGTGAGTCGCTGTAAAGACGTGAGGATACGCGGCTGTGAATGCCGTTGTATGCCAGGCTAAGGTACTTCAGCCGTAACAGGCGGCTCACAAAGCTAAAGTTGTGGCCTATACCCTGCATGCTGAAGGCCTGGCTGTTGTAGCTCAGGTCCAGCTCCTGCAATTGTGGGAGCTCACTGAACGATTTCCCATGGTACAAGTCCAGCTTGTTATGGGATAGGTCCAGCACCCGAAGATTGGTCAGCGGCACGAACTGAGAGCCGTTGACAGCCTGTGCAATACAGTTGTGGCTCAGGCTTAGGCATTGGAGGCGTGAGAGGTTGGCAAACATCTCAGGCTTGATGGCCACCAGGTTGTTCCGAGACAGGTCCAGTTTGAACTCTTGTGGGTTGCACCCGGGCATGAACTTCTTGGAGCCAGGGGAGCTCAGCGGAGGTGGGGCAAAAACCTCAGGCCACAGATTCTCCTGCTCCCCATCATTTGCCTCTTCAAGGGCGGCTGCTGGCGGCGGCGTTAGAATCTCACTGATTCGGTTGTCTGACAGGTCCACAAACTGAAGGACTGGGAAGGCACCAAAGATGCTGATTTGGGCCTGGTTGATAAAGTTCATTTGGAGATGCAGAGTGCGGAGCTTGGGCAGACGGGTCAGCGACTCGAGAGTTGCCTGGTCGAGCAAGCGGAAGAAGATGCCGTTCATGTTCAGCTCCCGCAGTGACACCAGGCCCTTGAAGGAATTTGCCAGGTGGAGCTGGGCATAGGAGACCTTCTTGTGGTAATTGAAGGACAGGTCGAGCTTGCGCAGGCGGGTCATGTTCTGGAAGACTGTGGTGTTGGTAATGTGGTCATAGAGAAAGTTCTCACTTATGTCCAGCTTTGAGAGGTTGACCAGGCATTGGAACCAGGAGGGCTCCAGCTTGTAGAGAGAGTTGTCCTTCAGCACCAGGCCTTCAAGGTGGGTCAGGTGATGGAAGGTCTCAGGGTGCAGCTGGAGGTACTTCTGTCCACAGTCTATACAAGGGTTGATGGCGTGGTCACAGCGGCGACAATTCCCACCCACATCGAGCACTCGAAGGGAGGTCAGATTGGCTAGGTCTTCAGGCCCCAGCTTGACAATGTGGTTATAGGACACCAGAAGGTACTCCAGGCTGGGGGGCAGCTGGCGGGGCACCTCCGTGAGGTTGTTATACTTGAGTGACAAATGGGTGAGATTGCTCAAGCCCAGGAGGGCACCTGGGGCCACCTCCACTGCCTTGCTGCAGGGGTTTTTGTAGTAGCAGTTTCCATCCATGAAGAGAAAGCGCAGGGAGCTCGGGAGAACAAAGTTGTTAGGATGTAGTACCAGGATGTTGGTGTGACTCAGGCTTAGCTTCCTCAGGGAGCTGGGCAGTGGGGGCACAGTGGTGATGCCGTTGTTGCTCAGGTTCAGCTCTTCTAGTGTAGGCACGTTCAGGAAGGTGTCGTGCTCAATGGTCATGTGGCAAGGGAAGTGCATGGGGCTAAGGCCGATGGGAGGACAGTTCCATTTGAGGTTCAGATGCCGCAGGTTGGACAAGTGGATGAAGTCGGTGTTGTGCAGGTGGTGGATACGGTTGGAGACCAAGGAAAGGTTGGTGACGTTGGAACGGGGATCTGCTGCCAAGAAGTGAGGCACAGACTTCAGGAACAGCCAGTCACAGTCCACCAGGCCCCAAGGCTTCAGCTCACAGGGCAGGAAGGCAGGCAGGGTGCCCAGGGCCAGAGCCCCAGACAGCACTGCAGCCTGCACTAGAAGAGACACAGGGTGCAGGGTCCTGTGCCGGAGAACCTTTGAGAACCAGGACGGAGTGAGTGTCTAGTGTTATTGAACCCTCTCTTACCCTCTCTTCCTCACTGGGGCTTTCTTCCGGGCTTCCAAGTGCCCCCTTCTTTCTTTCCAAGTGCCCCTTCCCCCAGGCCCCTTCCAGCCCACTCAGAACCAGTACTTGGTTTTAGACACAGCCACTCACTCAGAGCAAGGAAACGGAACCAGGAATGGGCCTGGAATCCAGACCCTAGACTTGGAGCTTTTGCTCTGAATACAACCCATAGCAGGGCCAGGACAGACTCCAACAGGCCCGCTGGGCCTCACCCACTTTCTGTTCCTCTGGAGCCTCCTCTTCCCTCTTGACCACAGCAGCAGCCTGTGCTCTGTCCCTTGAGCTTTCCTTGCTCCGCTAGCCTCTCCTTGGCTAAAGAGCGGGGAGCACTGAACCCCTACTGAGGTGTAGGCTGGACCCCGTCTAGGCACCAATGGTGTTTGCTGGCCCCTTTTGCCCTCCATCTGGCTCCCCAGTCTGCCCTGAGAACCCTCAACCTGCTGAAAGGCTCTGAGGGAGCAACGGGTAGCCGGTCTGTGCTGTGCGGGCCACGCACCCCCATTGGCTCAAGTCCTGGGCTTCCGCCTCCCTATCCACCTAGCGGGTTCCACTCTCTCCGCTCAGGGACCTGCGTTTGCTCCAATTCACTTAGGGCCCCGTGAATGTTCCAAGGGCCCAGAATGGACAGTCTTTTCCACTGTTGCCCATTCTAACATCATTCCTTCTCATGATGCTCCCCTCCCCCTCGGGCTAAGCGCTGGGATCCTACCATGTTGAGGAATGGAAGAATCTTCAGAGCTCCCTCCGACAAGCTGGGCACCAGAGGATGATGATCCACGCCGCTGTCCCTCAGATAATTGAGGAAGCGGTGACACTTTCACTATAGCTGAAGTAGCTGCTTTATCCCTGCCCTGCGAGAGCAGGCGGTACAACGAGTCACAGGTCATTTGCATAGCCAGATGGCAGGCAGCCAGCCCCCTTCACCCCTTCCTCTTTCCACTCTCCTCTCCACCCACAAGCAACCAGCAAAGCCTCACATCTGTCCCCTGGGAGGTATGGGAAGGGACCAAAGCCCAAAGTCCAGCCCAAGATCGATGAGAAACCAGAATTTAAAAGTGGCTCCAGAAGAGTTGGGCTGAGCACTGACATTCATGTGGATGGTGTCACCTCACCCTCAGGCCTCAGTGTTCGTCCCATGGGTACTCTCAAGACGGTGGCTCTCCCGCCTGCTCTATCCCCAGAACTCTGTAAGCCAGACGCTGGAGCCCATATCTGCCTTTGCCATTGTAGCAGCCTCGACATCTCTTCCAGGAATAGTATTTCCCACTCTCCTTTCCCAATGCCATATCAGACCCCAGACCGCGGCAAGCAGAGGCCAGGCTGTGGCTGGTCCAACTGGGACTCTGGCTGACCTTGCTGTTGTGTGACACTAGTCCTCGGGAGGTGGGGGCAGATGTCCAAGAAAGGGAATTAATGACAGACAGACCAAAACCGAGGGTACCACTAACGTCCAAGTTGGTTAACCAACGAGTTTTATTGGAGTTACTGGCAGAAGCATTGGGTGAGGAACAGAAATGACTCAAAGACAGCTGCATCACCAAAGCATAGGTCATGGGTTACACAAACGCTGGAAAACCTGGCGCTCAAGGCACAACTTGCTGGCAGCTCAAAATGTTGAGAGCGAATTGGCCAGGCAGCTCAGTTGATCTGAGCTTTTCAGGCAACTCAACTGGTCTCTGTTTCTTCCAGGAAGCACACCTCTTTGTCTCAGCATTTTTTTTTTTGTAAAGATTTATTTATTTTATGTATATGAGAGCATCAGATGACATTATAAATAGTTGTGAGCCACCATGTGGTTGCTAGGAATTGAACTCAGGACCTCGGGCAGAACAAAGCTCGGGGAGGGAGGACCTAGTGCATCTGGTCACTTTCAGGGACTTCCTGAAGCTTTTTAGTTGTTTACATCCTGAGAGGTTATGTTGGTTGGTTGGTTGGTTGGTTCTTGTTTTGGTTTGGTTTGGTTTTGGTTACTATCTTCTTATTTTTTATTTTTCCAAGACAGGTCTTCTCTGTGTAGCCTTGGCTATCCAGGAACTCACAGGCTGGCCTCAAACGCAGGGATCTGCCCGCCTCTGCCTTCTGAATGCTGGGATCAAAGGCACGTGCCACCATATTCAGCTACATCCTGAGTTTTAAGGAGCTTCCCTGAAGCATAGAACAGCTCACCTACTGTGCTAGCATAGCATGGAGGCCCTTGCATCCACATATCTGCAGAGACACCAGGAATGTTAGTCACACAGGACTGTCTTTCTAATGGGAAAGATGAAAAACCTGTTCTAGCTAGAAAGCTGAGAACAGAAAAGTGATTAACAGCCTGGTGATCTGCATTATCTGTTGGTCCAGGCCTCATCAAGCTCCCATGACCAGGACTAGAGTTAGTAGTTAGTAATCTAAATGACCATTATAGCCAGAGGCTCCCTCAAGCTCCCCCAAGCAGGACCAGAGATGGCTAATAGCTCAAATGACCCCTATGCTATCTGTACAACTGAGACTAAGCTAGGCCCTTAAGCCCTTAAGCTAGCACACTTGCTTGGAAGAAATGCTACTACCCTGAGTTGAGTTTTGATATACTTATGCTTCCTTGTACATCAGGGATTATATTACACCAGGAAACTTTAAAAAAAAAAATATGCTGAGCTTAAATACAGTGGGAATAAATTACCTGTTATGGAGGCTCCCCGAAGTCTGATCCAGGTCGACAAAGTCAATCTGCAGAGGGTTTTCATTCTTATCTCTTCCAGGAGTTCACGTCCCTGTATGACTCCTGCAGAGTCAACCTACCTCGGAAGAAAGTGCTACACAACACTGACCTACTTGGCTTGTCACAACCTGCTGACTAGAGCTGGTTCTTCAAGCTCAAAAAGCCCCAGAGACCCCAAAGAGACCTTAAGCTCTGATTCTGTCCCTTCAGAAACTGCCCACTGCTCACAACCTGCTCAGCTACCTGCATCTCTAACTAGGTCACCCTGGTGGTCTCCCCTTCCCAGGAACCTATTCAAATTGAGCTCCTGGAAAGGCCTGTTCATCCCCCCTCCATACATATGCACACATACAGACATATATGTGCATAAGAGTGTGTGATTCACCTGCATGTATGTTTGCGCACGACTTGCATGCCTAGTATCTGAAGAGGTCGTAAGAGCATGTCAGATTTCTTGCAACTGGCACACAAGCTGTGAGCCACCACGTGGGTGCTGGGAACTGAACCCTGGTCCTCTAGGAAAAGCAGCCAGTGCTCTGAACTGCTGAGCCATCTCTCCAGTGCTCCCTGTTCAAAAGTTTTCATTCTAGATCTCTCCTCTGCCCAGATCCCTCCATAACCGCCCGGAACTCTAGTCACTGTCCAAGCAGTAGTTAAGACATTATGCATGGGGGCTGGAGAGGTGGCTCAGAGGTTAAGAGCACTGGCTGCTCTTCCTTTCTCAACACCCACATGGTGGCTCATAACCATCTATAATGAGAACCGGTGCCCTCTTTCTGGCGTGCAGGCACACATGCAGACAGAACGCTGTATACGTTATTACGTATAAATAAATAAATCTTAAAAATAAAAAGACCCCGTGCACCTTATGCTTCCATTTTCCCTGATCTGCTGGCAGCCCACTGGCTCCTTGTCTTTCACCTGTGTGCTTTCTTGCTTCCGGGCCTTTGAACATACTCTTACCTCTGCCTGAACACTGGTCTTTCCCAGATTCCCCACGTGGTTTGCCTTCTGCCTTCATACAGGGCACACATTATCCTTTCTCCATGACGGGGCCTTTCTTGTCCTTCTCATGAATCTCTCAGCTCCGCTACACAGCCATCCTTCCAGCACGAGGGTAATGCAGGAGAACTGAGAGTTCAAAGCCTGCCTGAGCTCCATACTGAGACCCTGACTCAAAAGAAGTAAATAGGCAAAAGTAAATAAAATGGCCGGCCCCAGATCTGGCTCTCCTGAGCACTGTGGCCAGCTGGCTTTCTCCTCCCATAGTGCTTTCCAGTTGCTACCACTTTCATGCTTGGTTGCATACTGTCTTACTCACCTGTTGGAACGTTGACTTCTTCAAGATAAGAACTTCCATCTGCGTCTTCAGTGCTGGGCAGAATCTGCTGATTCCTAGCTATGGGCTTTAGCAGGGGTTGAAAAGGGCCCCTGCAATGGGACAATGTCCTGAGCACAGGGACGCTGACAACAAGGACATACACGACTGGAGAATACAGGTCTTCAGAATATCCTTGTTAGCCTTGGTGCCATGAAAACCCAGCTAGAAGAGCCCTCATGCAGGGAGGCAGGCTCAAAAGGGCCTTCTTAGGAGCCAGGTGCATTGGCACGTGCCTTTAATTCCAGCATTCACGAGCCAAGAGGCAGGTGGATCTCTATGATTTTTGAGGCCAGTCTGGTTTACATAGCAGAGCTCCAGGCTAGCCAGGGGTACAAAATAAGATTCGGCCTCGAAAACCAAACAAGGGCCTCTGAGAGATGTCTCAGAGGTTAAGAGCACTGGCTGTTCTTCCAAAGGTTCTGAGTTCAATTCCCAGCAACCATATGGTGGCTCACAACCATCTATAATGAGATCTGATGCCCTCTTCTGGCCTGCAGGTGTACATGCAGGCAGAGTACTGTGTGTGCATGTGTGTATTGGTTTTTCTAGACAGGGTTTCTCTGTGCAGCCTTGGCTGTCCTGGACTGGCTTTGTAGACCAGGCTGGCCTTGAACTCTCAGGGATTCGCCTGCCTTTGCCTCCCCTGGCAGAGGCGCATGCTACTGCATCCAGCAAAATAAATAAATCTTAAACAAACAGACCAAAGCCTTCTTAGGCATCCATCTCCTAATTCCCCTAATCCTACAAATCGTCAGGGGAGTGCGGACAGAAAGCCAGGAGGGTGAACTGTTGGAGCAGAGCCAGGGACTGTGGATATAGCTCAGTCGGTACACTGCTTGCTTAGCATTCGCTGTGCCTCGGATTTGACCCTCGATAACCCATAAATCAGACATAGTGGCACATACCTACAGAGCTTCAAGATCATCTCCAGCTACATAGCTAACTTGAGGCCAGCCTGGGGTGTGTGAGATTCTGTCTCAAAAAATTCACCCAACAAATGAATAAAAGAGACAAAGCCAGGAATAGTAAAATAATGTTGTTGTGTTTTTTTTTTTCCATACACCTTTTGCAGTTCCCAAATAAAGACACAGAGTCCAAAGCTTTATTCTAAACTGCCTACACTCTTCTGGACTACTCGCCCTGGCCACTCCTATTCCATCTGCGTCTTCCTGGCAACTTTGTGACCTTCTCCTCTGATTCCTCTCTGAGAAACCCCTCCCTGCAATCCTAAGTCCACAGCCCTACCTCTTCTGCCCAGATATTGGCTATTCAGCCCTTTATTAACCAATCAGAGATGATGGAGAACAATTTTTTACACAACACTGAGACGGGAGATTCTTCATAGAAATGACAATGCCCACATCCTGACTGCAACCCGGAATCAGCCTCTGAATACACGGAGCACAGGACCATCTCCCAACAAGGTCTGGTAATGCAGATGGGTAATGCCATCATTAGGGAGGCCTGCCATAGTTACATAGACCCTGTCTCGAAACAAAGCACCAAAATATTAAGAAGGAAAAATAAAGACGGGAAGACCTGACTTGATGCATGATTGATGCATGGGCTCCTGGAAGCAAAGCCCAGAAGAATCTGGTTCTTCTGGTTCAGAGTTAAGAACATGGCCAACCCTGCCAAGAGCCAGCTCCACACAAGGTTAGCCTTATCTGGCCTCCAGATCTGTGAGAATTAAATCTGCAAGGTTTTCTTTTGTGTTTTTGAAACAGTTTTTTTTTTTTTTTTTTTTTTTTTTTTTTTTATGTTGCTCGGGGTCAGGCTCAAACTACCTCTTTTTTAAGCCACTGAGTTTGTGGCAACTTGTCACAACACCCACAGGAAACCGAAACACCCAGATCTCCAAAGCCTTGTGGAAGTGTGTGGGCCTCATGGGTAAGGGCTTCTGCCCTCACACTCAGAGCATCTCCCACACAGCGGAGGCCAAGAGCAACAGGCCCCTTCGGAACGGGCAAAAGGACAACAGTGCAAACAAAGGCACCTAATTCCCAGGGTCAGGCTTGGTATTGATTTAAAAATATTTTATTCTTTAGAAAATACAGCGTTCAACCACCCCTTCCTGTGACATCTGGCCCCTGCCAACCGTCCCCACCCTCTGTGGCCCAAAGCTTCTAGACTGGGCTGGAACCATAGCATCAGATCTCCTGGAGGCTAGGTTCATGCCAGGTCCCCCACTCGGACCCCACGAATGAGCCAGGCAGCCACCCCGTGCACACAGACTGAAAGGCAGGGACAGCGACAGGGCAGGGTCACGATGTGCTGGTCCAGTGGCCCTAGGGAAGCAGCAAATGTGTTCAGCCATTTGCCCTCCTGTCCCACAGGAAGCAATTCCTTAGAGCCCGGGGTTGGGGAGGAAGGAGGGGCAGGAGCGAGAGGGTGGCATCCCAGCCAGCAGTCCACGTGCCTGGCCCTGTCCCCAGTCCAGGCACCTAGCTGTCGTCCCCATTCTCGCCGGGGCCCCGGATGAGGCGCTTGTGGCCGCGCTTGCCTCCAGGGCCTTTGGGCTTGGCGAAGGCCTGCTTGAAGGCCTGCTGCTTGGGATGTACCTCCTCGTAGAGGAACTCGGCTGTCAGCTCCGCCCCGTCACCAATCTCGATCTGCCCGGGGTCAAGGCAGAAGTTCACTATGCTGAGGGCCCAACACGTATCACTCTTGGTAACCCCCACTCTTAGAGTCATCCCTGGTGCCCATCTCCTCTTAGGTTACCACAGGACCTACAAGGTAGGGTCTGTTACCCTGCCAGCCCGAGTCACCTTCTCCCAACCCCCCTTCCTGCCAGAACTAGGAAAAAGGAGTGGACAAAGCAGCCAAGGCATGGGCTTATGTGTGTCTTGGATTTTCCCTGGGCCTTAAGCTTCCCACCCATCCAATACCCCATTCCTTCCATGCAGAAATGAGTCTTGCATGGACTCAGGACGCCAGTGCCCCACACGGGGAATGGGGTCCCGGGACCCTGGGAGCAGGCGGTACCTTCTTAGCTATCTCCAGCTGGAAGTCTTGCTCTACAGAGTCGAGGAGGCGGCTCTTGCAGCTGGAGTAGAGCATGCGCTCCTTAATGCTGCACTTGTAGCCCGGCATGGAGTAGATGAACACTGTTGGGGATGAGGAGGTGAGCCCACGTAGGCCCGGGGCAGCTGCAGACCTCTACAGCCACGGTAGGCCCAAGCAATGGCTTGCCATGATCCTCCTGGCCAGCTCCGAACTGAGGTCCCTGTCACTGCTACTTACCCACAGATTCCAGGGGGTCACCCTCGTGGGTATGCTTATACAGGAAGAAGTGGTAGCGGGCAGCATCTCGGGGTACCCGTGAGGGTAGCTGGGCCACGTTTGTGGGTTCTGTGTGTACCAGCTCGATGGTCTCCCGTTCCAGGTCCAGCTTCTGAGTAGGAGCAGAGGAGGTGGGAGGGTTCTCCCTGCACCCATTAGGAAGCAGGATTGGTGGGCAGGGAGGGGTGTTCGGGGTCCCTTTCCCCGGGGTCCCCTTTCCAAGGCTGGACCCTGGGCTGCAGGGGTTATTCTAAAGAGACCTTCCCTGACTCCAACGCTGCCTCTCTGAAGCTTCCCACGGAGGCCCCTGCCCAGGGTGGTGTGGTCGGCCTTGACCTCAGCAAGGCATCACCGTGGGTCCACCCTCAGAGGCAAAGCCCCAGGAAAATGTTTGGAAGGGAAAGCCATTCTGCTTGGGCAGAATGGGCACAAGGACTCTGCCCAGAAAAGAGATAGTCAAGGGAGCTACAAAGGAACTCTGGGAGAGGACGAGGGTTAGCCCTAAGCGTCAGTGTAAACCTATGGTATCTATATGTTGTCAAGGTGTATATAGTGCCTGTTGTGGCCAGGACTTAGGGGCAGGGAGCATGTTCTCTCTTTTATTCCCCAGGACAGGGTTTCTCTGTGTAGCCCTGGCTTGCTCTGTAGACCATGCTGACCTCTAACTCAGAGCTCCACGTGCCCCTGTCTCTCGAGTGCTAAGATCAAAGGTGGGCGCCACCATACCTGGCTTATTATTATATTTTTTTAAAAGAAAAAAATTGAAACAGGGTCCGGTGTAGATTAGGTTGACCTTGACCTTGCAATGCCTGGGTGGCTTAGCAGAATAGCCCAGGAGATGGGCACAGGGCTCTGTGGCCATTTGCAAACACGAATAACCAGAAACAGGAGGGGCCTACGGTGCCTGGCCTGTGTGTATGACTGCGTACCCACCAGCTGGATATAGTTGACTGTCTTCTGCTTGAGCTGCTGAAGCGCCCGCTGGGCCTCAGGCTGCAGCGGGAAGGCCAGGCCCTGTAGCGTCTGGTGCTTACTTTCCACACTGATCTCAGTCTTCACCTGCGGGGCGGGACGACCATGCAGGAGAGCCTCACCTACCCACACCAAGTTGGGGCCTACCCCGGTCAGAGTCTCCCGGCCCTCCTCGTCCTACGCACCCACCTCATTGATTCGGATCTGCTGGAGCTCTCTCTCAGCCGACGTCAGCGGGGCAGGTGCCGCGCAGGATGACAGGTGCTTCTGGTACCCGGCCAGGGAGAGGTCGTCCTGTGGGGCAGGCTCAGAGGGGTAAGTGGATACCTCAGGCAGAAGTCCACTGTGCGTCTCAGCCTGCAGCCCCAGGGTTCCCACGTCCTTCCGTTTCTTTTTTTTTGTGACGGAATCTTATGTAGCACTCAAGCTAGCCTCAAACTACACTGCCATACAATGACCTGGAGCGGCCCATCTTCTTGTCTACACTTCCTGAATGCTGAGAATCAAACCAGGGTTTCATGCATTCGAGGCAAACACTATCAACCACGGCACAACCCAGTCCCCAGCCCTCCCATATCACCCTGACCCTGGCACTTGAGTGACCCTATAACCCTCGCCCAGTGGTCCCCATCCCTCATTCTGGCGTGGGTGATTAACCTTTACTGTCCCGAAGAGCTCATCCTTGATGTGGCCGCCTCCAAACTCCTTCTTCACTGTGGCTCGTGTGGCTGCATACAGCATCTTCAGCCGCACCTGAGATGGGCCAAAGCTAATGCTCCAGGAGCCAACTGAAGCCCCGCAAGAGGCAGGGCACTGAATCAGGTCATCTCACTGGGCCCACACGCCCAGCAGGGGGCGCAGCGAAGCTGTAGCAAGCAGCTTTCGCCAGCAGGGGGAGCCTCCACCCAGCTCAAACTCAGCCCGGAGTCCGGTTGATGGGACAGCAATCTAGGAAGCGCGGGCTCTGCAGGGGTTGGGGCGGAACCTACTATTCCTTCCCTTAGTCTCCTTAGGCCAGAGTCTCTCATCTGTTCTTCCCCCTTTCCACTGGCCCCAAGCAGGGTGACGGGACTCACAGGCGAATTATCAGGTGACCAGGCCAGGAAGAGCCATTCGAAACCCTGAGCATTCTGCGAATCGAGGCGGAAGAGGAGGTAGCAGGGCTCCTGGGCATCCAGCAGCGGCAATACAGCCCGGTCGTAGTCCTGGTCCCAGCGTCCCACTGGCTCCTGCGAGGCACCGAGCACGAGCTGCTCTGGGGGCAGAGGCCGGGTGAGCCGAAGTGGCACATCCCACCTCCTCCTCCGCCTGTGGACCTGTTCTCTGGATGGAGCTCTCTGAGCGAACTCCAACCTACCGGCCACTCCGCCCCACTGGCCCACGAGCTCTCAAATCCCCAAGGTGTGAAGCTGAATTGCAGAGGGGTGAGTATGAGGCGCTGAACTGGACCACACGTGGCAGCTATGGGCGGCCACCTTTGTATCCACTCTTGCAAATGCTTGTGTTCACCTACACTCACGCATTTGTGCACACACAAGCCCACAAAGGACCACAGCTGTGTGCCCGCCGCCGGCAACAGCGCACTCCGCTCAAGGTACTCCTACACTGGATGCTGCTCAGCGCCATCTCAACTGTGTAACCGCTTCCTGCTCGCAACTCCCTCAGCCCCTGGCTCCATCATGCCCCTCTCAGGACAATGTGCTAAGGGAGAGGCTACCACCCCCAGTTTCAGCCCACCACCCCAAAGGGGGGAGGGGACAATAGCAGCCAACTAATTTTTGTTTGTTTTTTGAGACAGGGTTTCTCTGTGTAGCCTTGGCTGTCCTGGACTTGCTCTGTAGACCAGGCCGGCCTAAGATTCACAGTCATCCGCCTGCCTCCGCCTCCCTGAGTGCTGGAATTAAAGGCGTAGGCCACCAAGCTTGGCTTGCCAGCTATTTTTTTAAGGCAGGGTTTTACTATATATTTAGGCTCAGTTGATGCTGAACTCACGAGCCTCCTGCATCAGTCACCCGCCATTTAAGGGCCTGGGTATGTGTGTGCACCATCACGGCCAGCTCCTGCTTGCTCTCATGTGTGCTTGTTTTTTGAGGCAGGCTCTCATGCAGTCCAGACAGGCCTAGAACTCACTTTGTGCTGGAAGATGAACTTCTGATCCTCGGATCTCCACCTCCTAAGTGCTGGGGTTATAGGCACCATTTTATGAAGTGTCCAGGGTCAACCCAGGGCCTTGTGCATACTAGCCAAGCACTCTACCAACTGAGTAGATTCCTAGACCCTTGTGCTTGTTTCTGATAGAAACCTTTGCTATGTAGCCCAGGCTAGCCTCAAACTTTCAATCCTCCTGCCTCGGCTCTCTTAGTGCTGGGAAAATCAGGAATATGTCACAAGGTTTAGCGAACAACCAAATTATTATTATTATTATTATTGTTATCGTTTTGTTTTTTTTGGGACAGGGTTTTCTCTGTGTAGCCTTGGCTGTTCTGGACTCACTTTGTAGACCAGGCTGGCCTCAAACTCACAGCAATCTGCCTGCCTCTGCCTCCCCAAGTGCTGGGATTATAGGCGTCCGCCACCATGCCCGGCCAACTTGTTATTTTTCATTTATTATTATTACTAATGTGTGTGTGTCTGCGTGTGTGTCTGGCACATATGGGTATGGATGCATGCATACCACAGGGCAGATGCAGAAGTCGAGGACCAACGTTCAGGCCTCAGTCCACCGTAAGGTCCACAAACTGGACTCAACCTGTTAGGTCTGAGCCATTCTGCTGGCCAGCCTGGACCTGACAGGTCTGCTATAGCTCTGGCCAAATAGGTCATCCAAGCACAGTTTCAAGCTGAGATCTCATCTGGACACCATGTATGTACTTGGTCCCACAGCCCAACCCTGAGGAAGAACTGGGCAGAACAGTGATCCTAGCTGGGCCATGGGGGGCCAGCCCTTCACCGTCCCCACCCTTTTTAATAGAGCGAAGAAGCCAGCTGCCTGAGACTCCAACATGAGAGGCAGGTCGTGACGTCCGTGCCTGCCCACCCGGGACTCAGATGGGGATCGGGGTGGAAAGGCAGCAGCTGCTTACTCTGTTGTTCATACTTTTCAAGTTGTTCATTTACCTGTTTTATGAGCGTTTGGCCTAGATTTACAAATGTGCATCGTGCGCGCGCCTGTATCCGTGGAAGGCAGAAGGCGGCGTTGGATACCCTGGAACTGAAGTGATAGATGGCTGTGAGCCACCATGCCGATGCTGGGAACAGAATCGGGCTCTTCCGCAACGGCGGCAAGTGCTGACAGCCGCTGAACCATCTCTCCAGCCGCTTGTTCACGTTTTTAAAGCGGAATGTCTGGACAGGTGAGATAGCTCTACCGGTCAAGGTATTTATTACCAAGTTTGGTGACGTGAGTTCAATCCCAGGGTTCCACATGGTCAAAGTTGTTCTCTGATCTACATGCATGCACATACACTAAATGTAAGTTTAAAAATAAACCAGAATTTGGATATTTTTAGACCAGGGCTTATGTATCCTAGGCTGGCTTCTAATTCACTATACAGCCAAAAATGACCTTGAAGCCATGGCTATGTAGTAAGATTCTGCCTCAAGAGACTAACAGCTGGCCACAGTGGCTCATGCCTATAATTCCAGTACTTGGGAAGGCAGGGCTACACAGAGAAATCCTATCTTGGGAGGGAGGGAGGGGGAATGACCTTGAACCTCTGATTCTCCCACCTCTACTTCCCAAGGCTTGCCATTTTTATATTTGGAGACAAGTCTATATAGTCTAGGCTGGCTTCAAAAAACTGGAATTCCTTCTGGCTCAGCTCTCTCAAGTGCTGGGATTATATCATCATTCCAAGCTTTACCAGGAATTTTGTATAAGGAGTATAATTTGGGCCTGGCAGTGGTGGCACATGTTTTTACTCCCAGCACTTGGGAGGCAGATAGAGGCAGATGTCTGTGAGTTCGAGGCCAGTCTGGTCTAGAGAGAGAGAGCTCCAGCACAACCAGGGCTACACAGATAAACCCTGTCTCGAAAACAAAACCGGCACAGGCATAGTTTTTGTTGTGGTGGTTGCTTAAAAAAAGAACTATAACTGAGTTTCTGTAGAAAAAACAGTAGCTCTAGCTACACTCACCTAGGATGTAAACCCCTACCCCAGGCATTCCCAGGAACCCCAACACTTGGAACGCTGAATTAGGATGAGTCTACCTAGAGATCCCTTAGGCTTTATGGAGACCATCTACAGGGGACAGTTTGCCTGGGAGGTTAATAGACAGGGCTGAAAATGGGGGCCACTCAGCTCAACTGTCTCTTTAAGGGTAGGAAGCCCCAGGAGGCCGCTACTCATCACCTACCATCATGACTCCCCACCCAGACTCTGAGGGCACCTGGATTCAAGGATCCTGGACAAAGCCCAGCCTAGCTGTGGCCCTAAGGCCTGAGGTGAATCCTGGGTCTGGCAGGCCCAGCTGAAGTGAACAGGACTTGGGTCATTCGGGGAGCCCAGTGCCAAAGGGCTCACAGCAGCATGACCACTGAGAGGGCAGGAAGGACCCTCAGAGGGTCTGGCCCACACCACTCCCAGAAACCATACCACTTTCTGCTGAGGCAGGCGCTTGGCGCAGAGGGAGAGGGAGTCCTTGTTTCCTCACCCCTAATTCAGCCTCAGATGGATCCTCCGACTCCTTGAATGCTTCTACTTCAGGCCTTGGCTCAAGCCCCACAGCCCTGTACCCCTTGTACCCCTCCTACTGCCTGGTAAGAAACCAGGTCCAAGGGTCAGCTCGAGGCCCTGTCTGTGTGGAGTCGCTTTATCCTGCTCTCAGAATGAGCGGGACCTAAGTTCTTTCTTCCTATTCTGGGGACATCTACCTTTGGTGAGGTCCATGGCATCTCAGTGCCCTCACAGCTGGCAGCCAAGCCAGGCTCAGCCTGCTGAACACGCGCGTGCACGCGCGTTCGGACACACACACACACACACACACACACACACACACACACACACCAGGGCTCGCCCGGCCCCTGCCACCTCCCTAGCGCAGCTCCCTGACAAGATCCATCTCCAAAGCCACACAGCCTCTAGACACTGGGGCCGGACAGACCCACAGGTCAGGACTTTGCACAACAGGGTGGCCACCGTCCCACCTGTAGGACCCCATGAGTCAGTCTCCTGTATGAGTGGCCTCATCCCCATTCTCAGATGGAGAAACTGAGGTCCGAAGGGGGCCAGAAGCTAATACTCCTCTTTCCTACCCCCGGAAGGAACTGGGTTCGGCCTCCATCCCACACCCCGGCCTGTGGGGGACACTCACCGTCCTCAATGATAACTTTGATGAGTCGGATGGAGCCAGCCCGGGCCTTGGCAAAGAATTCCTTTAGCTCTTCGGTGGCTACAAGCACAAGAAACATGGTTGTTGTTGGTGAGCAGGCAGGGTGGGCAGCAATGAGGCTGGGTGTCCTGTGGGGTCTGGTGGCTGGGCTGGGAAGTGGGTTAAATATGGTTCTCCCATGTGACTGGGAACTTGAGACAAGCCACTGAACATAAGCTCCCAAATTTAGCTAGCAGGAGTGGCAGGCGGTGGCCTGCTGGCAGGCAGGAACGGGACGGCCCACTTGAAGATGGACCAGGTTCTAAGACAAGCCAGGCTGGCCAGAATGAAGGGCACCCGCTTGTCCCCCTAACAATAGGCTGAACCGCCAGTGAATGGACACCCGCTTAGCTGGTCAGTGGAAGTGGACACGCTCATTTAGAGACTCAAACACAACACACGCGCACGCGCACAAATCCCACGTCGCCAACACACATGCAGGTAACAGACGCAGCTGCAGGGTGTGTCTACAGCGTGTGTACAGGCAAGACAGACAAAATACACAGGGGCACAGGCGCGTGCAATCCATGAATGCAGTTGTCCAAGTCCCCCGCCCGCTTGTACCAAAAGAAAAGCCTGCCAGCCCCAACACAGCCCTATCAAGGGGCAATGAAGCTTCAACCCCCAGGCGGTCAGGAAGGCTTCCTGGAGGAGGAGTGGTGCCCAGGAAGAAGGCTCCATCTTGGAAATTGGGCATCAGAGCAGGAAGGTGACCAATGACCAAAGATAGCGTGCCAAGGTGAGGACCATGGTCGGAGCTAGATGACCATGAGTCATCTCCCACTAGTGGCGGGAGAGAGGGAAAACACAGTCCAAGTGTGTAAGGGACCTGCTTGGAGTCTCTGGCTGAGTGTGACCTTGGGGCTGCCAGGGGTCAGAAGGTACACAGCTGGAGAGTTGAGATCACAGAATATTTATAGGCCTTGGATAGGGCAGCTGATGGGCAGCTTAGGGGCGGGGTGGAGGGGGCTTTAGGTAAACAAACTCTCAGTCATGTCCTCAGGCGCTCCCCCTTTCCCTGCGGAGTGACCTTACGCCTGAACCCCACCAAGGTGCACGCCACCCACGGAGGTCCCTGAGTGGACAGAAGCATGACCAGGTACTGGACACGAGGGACACAGCCCCACTGGCCATGTACAACTAGTAACCATCAGCAGATGCCTAAAAGCTTTAAGCCTCATCTTCAGGGGCCTGGCTCCCTCTTAGCTGCGTGACCTCTGACCTCTCTGAACCTCAACCTCATCTATGAAACAGAGCTAACTGCCTCAGACTTAAAGGCTTGTGGTAAGGAGTGTAAGAGAGACAGTGCCAAGGAACAGGCATGTGTTGATAATATTTTGGTTTTTTTTTTTTTTTAAATCTAAAGGTGGCTCCTCCTGCTTGTCTAGACCTTGAGAGAGAAGCCAAGAATCTCCCCAGAGGGAGAGTCTGACAAGCCCCTTCTACTGTTACCAGGGCAAACTGAAAAGCCAGCAGCCTCCCGAACCCTGATGCCTCTCCAGTCACCATCAATAATCCAGAGGCCAGACCTGGGACACCTGAGCCTCTGTCATCAAAGATTCATGCCTCCCCGCCGCCACCTTGCCCACCTCCAACTCTAGCAAGCCTCAGGTTACAGTCCCTCTTGGGCTTCACTGAGGTCAACAGGCCTGCTCCTATGGCCAGGCCAAGGCTGGCACCTGATCTTCCAGGGTGGTCTTTCTTGCTGTCTGAAGCAGGCCCAAAATCGGGAAGTTCCCCTCAGCAGGCCTGTCTCACTGCATGGGGGATGAAGGGATAAGGCAGAGCCTTGGCCACAGGGTCTCTGAGCAGAGTGTGTGTTTGGGAGTGGGTGTAACCTCCTACCATCTCCCCCCAGCTGGAGGCAGCAGCTCAGCATACAAAGAGGAAGGAAGGGCTTTGCAAGTTGAGGCAGCGGTTTCCCTGACAGTTCCCCACTTTGGGGCTGACTCAGGAAACCTGGCCCTCCATCTCCAGGAGAGACTGGCCCACCTGTGGGAGGCCAACCAAGCCTGATCCAGGTCCCTGCATGCTCAGACCAGCAGGATGGGGATGGGGCAGGGCCAGGGAAAGCCTCTCAGGGCTGAGCGTCCACCAAGCAGCCACAACCGCAAGCAGGGATGCAGGCGGTCAGGCAGGTCGATGGTGGTAGCCCTGGCCAGGGCATCACAGTGTGGTGACACGAGTGGCTGATGGCCAAACCAACAAGCTGTCTGGGCGAGCAGCCTGGCCTTCCCTACTGGCCGAGGAAGCAGTCCTCCTTCCGGGACAGTAACAGATGGGGACACTGAGACCAGGTAGGGACAAAATACCTGGCCCAGCTATTGCTTCTTTTTCAGTCTATTCAAGGAGGAAATGGGGGGGATGGGGAGCCTGGAGAGGGGCCGTGGGTGTGGCACTCCGAGAGGCTGCAGAAGCTTCCTGTAGATTAGGGTGGAGCCAGGAACTCCCCTAGAAAGTCTGACTCCTCAGCCTCTTCCCTGCTTGCAGCTTCAAGTTGGGACTTTTGGTGGCCTGGCTGGAGCAGACGGAGATCACAGTGGAAAACGGAAGAAGTCAGAGGCCAAGGTCAGAAGTGCAACACTCCCCGTTCTACTTCAGGGGGAGGGCCAGCTTCTGTCCAGCCTAGTCTGCAAGAGCATGGGGGTCCTACAAGGAGGAAAGGTCGGGATACCCTCTCCACACATATACACAAGCCCATGCTAGTCATAAGACACCCAGGCAAGCATCCATGGTAACACACACACACACACACACACACACACACACACACACACGCACACACACGTGGTGTGCCTGAACTGTGCACATATGCAGACACCCACAGTGTGCAAACCCAGCCACTAGTGCACGCACACGAAGGAGGCTGGACAGGCATGACCAAGTCGCCTCCAGATGGGCACACACAGGACTGTGTACAGAGGACATGTGCACATGCGTGTGCGTGTACACTTTTCCAGATGTGCACATCCGGGTACACCCCATCTCCAGAAGTGAACAAAAATACCCAGACGGGTACACACAGGCACCTCCGCCCGCAGATGGGTCCACAAGATACCTCCACCCTCGCTGCGTGCATCTATGGACACCCACTCCCCGCTGTCTGTACTCCCCCACCCAGACGTGCCCATCCCCGGGACTCGCGGCTGCAAAGGAGAACAGGAAGCTTTCCCCGGAGGGTGCCGAGGAAGAGGTGGGTGAAGGGACTAAGCGCGGAGAACAGGGGCGGCGGAGCCAACGGGCCCCCTGTCCGCCCTCCATCCGCCCTCACCGTGGATGCCGGTCTGGTGCGCCATGGCTCAGCGTTCGGCTCGCCCGTGCCGTCGGAGCGCTCCGGCTTGGTCCTGGCCCGGCTCGACTCGGCTCGACTCGGCTCGCCTGGACTCAGAGCTCCGGAGGATGTGGCGGTGGCACCGAGCTTCGCGCAGCTTCCCGGGCGGTGCCGCAGGACCCGCCCCCAGCGCGCCCCGCCCCCGGAGGGCGAGGCCGATAGAGGCGGGAGCTGGTGGTGCGCGTGCGCGTGCGCGCAGCGGGCGCCGGGGTCTTGGTGGCCCAGTGTCGCGCCGCGCCTACCTCGATGGCACGGAAGGGGCCTGCGGGTGCCCGAGGGGTGTGTGGGCGGTCGCTGGTAGGCCACAATCCTAGAGGTCTGGAGGCGGACCCCGCGCTTGGGCGTGGGAGGGACTGTGCGCTTGCCCCTGGGGAGGTTTGAGAGTGGGGGCCGATCCCGGCGTACCCCAGTTTGTAACCGTGAGGGGAATGTCAGTGTTGGCGGGCATGCGCGCGTGTGTGGTCGTGTGTGTGTGTGTGTGTGTGTGTGTGTGTGTGTGTGTGTGGTCTTGAACCCCAGGACTTTCCTTTCAGGTTGAAGCCTAGACTTATCCACCAGTAATCAGGTGTCTGTGGTGGCTGGGAGCCCTACACTGAGAAAGTGAGGGGCCGTGGAAGGAGGTGAATATTGGATGAAATTCTGTAGGAGAGACGGGGTGACCTAGCAGAGCGGAGGAAAGTTTTCCAAAAAGAAGGTCCATGTCCTAAGTAAAACCCTGTAGTTAAAGGACCGGGCCTCAGCCTGAGAAACTTCCCAGTTCTCAATGAACTTGTCCTCATCCTCAGCAGTTTTTATTTTTTGTTTATTTTTTTTAAGATTTATTTTATTTATTACATATATATACCATAAGAGGGCGCCAGATCTCATTATAGATGGTTGTGAGCCACCGTGTGGTTGCTGGGAATTGAACTCAGGACCTCTGAAAGAGCAGCCAGTGCTCTTAATCTCTGAACCATCTCTCCAGCCTTCTTAGCAGTTTTTAAATAAAAGTTTTTACATAAAAAATAAAAAATAAAAAACCCTCAAATTAGATAAATTAATAGTCTGGAGAGACGGGTCAATCAATAAAGTGCTGTGCAGACATATAATTTCAGATTCTGACAGATATGTCAGATTGCCAGCATCAGAGTGAAAAACCTTGGCTTTGCCTGCTGGCCTGGCAGGGAGACTTTGGGGATGTGGAGAGAGGGCCTTGAGGAGACAGGGTAATACTTGGCGCTCATTTGCCTGCCGGCCCAGCCAAACGGGGAGCTCCAGATTTAGTGAGAGAATCTGGAGGGCAATAGAGGAAGCTGGCTTACGAGCACCTCTGGTTTCCTGCACCTGAACACGGACACGTGTGCACAGTCATGTGTATTCCACACACAGACAAAATAAATGACACGTCTGTGGGAGGACACCATCCTAGGGCTGGAGACGCTCAGCTGACAGAGAGCTCGCCTAATGTGCAGGACATGCATGACGTCCTAGTGTAAGACCTGGGGTCTCACAGCTCAGGAGTTCAAGATCAGCCCTTCCCAGAAACTCCCCCAGACCAAGATTTGTTGCAAAAGCAAGAGGTTTATTAACCATTGCGCAATGGGGTCACCCCTGCCTGTCAGCAAAGAGTGGCCGGGAGACAAAGGCTTTAGGTTTTTAAAAAAAAAAATCGCGGGAAATTTGAAGTTGCAGTTTTGGCAATTTAGGATTGGATGAGGAAGTAAGATAATTGGTTAGTCTTAGGTGCTCAAGCTTGGCCAGTCCTGCCAAGTGTGGATGCAGCTGCAATTAAGCTACTCAGAAGAAGTCTGGGTTTGTTGCTAAGAAACACTATCTCAAAGACAAGGGTCTGGTCCTTCTTTTTGCTGAGTGAAGGTCATTGCTTGCTTGCCTTTTTTTTCTATTTGTCCTCATAGATAGGGTCACATATTCTTATTCTCTGGAAAGAATAAGAGGCTTTAGCTTAACCTGAACCGAAAACTCAAAACTATAGGCTTTAGAAGACATACAGGTTACAAAGTTAGTCTAACCCTTCCACTAGGTTTGATCCCCAGCACTACACAAACCAGGTGTGGTGGCAAACACCTGTAATCCCAGCACTAGGGGCACAAAGGCAGGTGGATCTCTGGATTCAGGGCCATCCTGGTCCACCTCGTTAGAGTGCCTCAAATAAATAAATAGAAAGAAAGGAAAAAAACAAAAAACGTTCAAGATTAGCCCGAGCTACCTGGCCAGCTGGGGCTACATGGGACAGTGTCAACAAACAAGAAAAAAAGTTAAAAAAAAAAAAACTGGGGGCGGAGCTGGAGGGATGGCTCAGGGTTTGAGAGCACTGGCTGCTCCTCTAGACTAGGATTCAATTCCCAGCATGTACGTGGCAGTTTAAGACTGCCTGTAACACTAGCTCCAGGGGATCTGTATATTTGTTCAGGCAAAATATCCATACATAAATAAACCTAAAAAAAAAAAAAAAAAAAAGAAGTCAGTGGCTGGGTAGAAAACTGAACGAAGGAAACAGGCCACCCACAAAAGAAAGACACAGTCCCACAAGTCTATAAAGAGCTGCTTCCCCTGTCGGTAATCGCTAAATAAGACGAGTTAAAACTGAACTGTGTTTGGTATTTTAGTTACCTGCAGGCAAAACCTTTTAAAACTGTGATAAGAATTGTGGCTGTCAAGGATGCGTAGATAGGTTTGGAAGCTTAGGTAAAGCGCTGTGATGAATGATGTTGATTGTGAAACTAATTATCTAGGAGCGGAAGCTTTGAGCTAGTCCTTGAGGGGCATTTCCAGAAAAGTTTAAGGAGGAGAGAAAACCCGCCCTTGAATGGGGGCAGCACCATCCGGCCGCAGACACAGTGACCAGCGGCCTGCCAGGCCTCCCGTTCCTGATTGCCTGACTGGCTTCCGCTGTGCTGGACTAAACAAGCTATTCCACCCCCCACCCTCGTAGTTGCTTTTTGTAGATACTTTGTTACAACAAGGACTAAAGTAACTGAGGCGAACAGTGTGTTCAAGATCATCATCTGTATCCCTCTCTTTTGTTGGAAGCGGCATGGAGGGAAGGGAGGTGTCTGGCAGTAACTTTCTCAGACTTCATTTGACTCAGACCCGGGTCAGGCACCACTTATGGGAACCACTATCTCCCCCCCCCCCCCCCCCCCCCCCCCCCCCCCCCCCCCCCCGCCCCCCCCCCCCCCCCCCCCCCCCCCCCCCCCCCCCGTAGAGACTCCGCATTCTCTCTGCTCCCATGCCCAGGGTGTGACTGGGTGGGCTCAGTAGGTTTGGCCCTAGGTTACTGTGGTACAGCTGTTTTCTAAGAACCTTCCTCCTTGGGCAGGAGCGGCTAGCTGAGCAGGAAGTGAGGCCTGCTGAGCACTGGCCTGCGCTTAGGAGCAGAGACAAAGGTAGGAATGAATGCTTCACCCATCCTTGGGCCTTAGAGGTTTTGAATTGAAAAGAGGAAGAGAAATCCCTTGAGGGTGGTCTGATTCAGCTACCCTGTCATACTGGAAACCCTGGGCACCTAACACTTCCCCTCTGTGGGCCGAGTCCTCTCTGATGAAATGGAAATTGCAGCCTCGCAAAGGGGCACCTGGTCTGCGGCTAGCCTCCAACAGTGACGGCTACCTAGGGGTTAAGAGACATTCGGAGCCAGTGATGGCGCTCGCCTGTAGTCGTAGTACATGGAAGGCAGGGGCGGATGGCGTGCCTGGAGTTTGAGGCCAGCCTGGGTTTACACGGTGAGCGAGCGCCTGTCTCAAAACAACAGAAGTCAGTGAAATTCTTACACTTCCAAGTTCGCGCCTTTGCCCAGCTGCAGAAAGGAACTACGCTCCCCTTCAAAGTCCCACAGGTTCCTCTTGGCCATCGCTCACACCCACGCTCCTGGGAGGATCTTGTGCTGCCCGGAGAAGCCATCTTAACTGGAGGGCAGCCATTTGGAAGCGGGCCTCTGAGGATGGGGAGGACCAGGCTGAACAGAACTCTGGAGCACGCTGAGCACACTCTTACTCAACATGTCGGTCTCACACCTCCAAAGGACACACTGTCCCCATCCTCCCCTTGCGCAAGGCTGAGGCTCTGCGTGGCACCCGTGGGTGGCCGACTCTCCACGGTCCCCTCTCAGGGGACCGAGTCCCACAGGTGCGGGCGACCCTGCGCGCCTGCGCAGTGCTACCCTCACGCAGGCGGGCCTCAACCTCGCTAGGCCTCAGTTTTCCTGCCCATTAAGTGGGAAGGACTGCGTTCTCCTACGGGCTCGGTTCACTGGCCTTACACCCAGGGGCGGGATGGGGCGTGGCCTCCCGGCCCAGGCTCCACCCCCAGGCCCGCTTCCTCCCTGAGGCGGGAGGGGGACCCTGTCGTCCCGCTGTGCGCGGGCAGCCCCCGGCCGCCGCGCAATGTCCGCCGGCTGGTTCCGGCGCCACTTCCTATCGGGGGGTCCACTTCCAGAGCCGCGGCCACCTGGGCCGCGCTCCAGCCCGGTGCCCTATCACCGGCCCCGCTTCCTGCGAGGCTCCAGCCCCGGCGCCACCGACGCCTCCCGCCGCCCGGATGCCCGGCCGGTGCGCAGCCCAGCGCGGGGCCGCACGCTGCCTTGGAACGCAGGCTACGCCGAGTGAGTGTCCCTCCCCCGCGGCCCCTCCCGACCCCTTCCTTCCCTGGGCCCGTCTGGTTGTGTGCTAGAAAACTGGCCTTTGGAGATGTATGTCTCACCCCCTCGCACCTCACTCTGGGTTTGGCCTATGCTGTGTGGGATAGGGCTTGGGATTGAGGTGAGACCTCACAAACCCTGGGCCAGCCCAGTGACTCCAAAGGGGCTGGTCTCTGGTTTTGACCCTAGTGACAAAGCCAGTGAACGGTTAGAAAACTTACGTATCGTTGGGGCTTTTAAAGGTGATAATTGGCTGGCAGAGTAAGCCTGAGTTCAGATCTCCTACAACCTTGTAAAAAGCTGGACTCCGGGGCTTGTGGGCCAGGCAGTCTGGCCGAGTCAGTGAACCTGGTTGGGTAAGAGACTGACCTGTCCCAGAAACTAAGGTAGAAGGCAATAGAGGAAGGCACCTGGCATCCACCCCTGACAAGTGCGCGCGACACACACACACACACACACACACACACACACACACACACACACACAC